TTCGAACATGGGATCTTCCCATAACGTTTGGTGAGGGTGACAACTAGACCACTTCACTAAGTCGCCACACCTCTATATGTTTTTTTTCATTCTAAACACCTTACTATTTATGTATTAATATTTCATTTCATACTATAATTATTCGAAATCTTTTAGTATTAATATGGTTAATCATAGTTAGGTAGATTTGGGATTAATTTCTGTTAGTTCTAAGATATTAAAAATCTATATACACTGTTCCATCAATCTAGAAATAATGCAAATTTTTTTGATTGTTATACAAAATTTACTTTAAGAGACTGCACTATTTTGTTAACTTACACAATGCATATTTATTTGATTAAAACAAACCTTTAGAATAAAGATTTTAACATTGAGTTACAATAATGTAAAAACTAGATATGATTAAAAATGTTATGAATAAAATTTTGATTATAATATATAGATAAATACTTATCTGTCGATTATAATCTCAATGAATTTTATATATTCTTTTTTTTGCATATGCTTTGACATATAGCATATACATATTGGAATAAGTTAAAGCACAAAAAAATTAATGTTTGACTTGACTAGAAAATGAATTAATCTCAACTTATATAATTAAATTTATATGTCATGATTATTAATGCTTAACAAGTTTTTTTGCAATAACAATATTGCAAATCAATAATGATGTTACAGTATATTAAATTTGATAAAATCATCTCATTTTATCAAAGCTTATTAGTTTTGTAAAGCTTTTATTAATTTTGATAAATACCAGTATAAAGATTTATATCTTAATATCTATTTGTATTGTATAACTTTGGCAATAACTTATATAATAAAACGAGTAACCAAAAGGCTGCACAAGCATATGCTCAATGATATAAAAAACAAAGGCTAGATTCTGAGTTAGTGTTAAATGCAAAAGAAGAGCTACTTTGTTGTCTACTAGACAACACTATGAGCAAAAACAGAACACATTGCAAAAGCATTCAAAGGGAAAAACCAATTATACTTCATTTTCATGTTGTGAGGCACTTTATTTTACCAATGATTTTCCTTCTGAAGTGGATATTGGAAGAATGAATATCAAATGTCATCATTGTAGAGCATTACATTTTCAAGGAGAATGAACTGGTAGAGACTTGAACTAGTTTATATTTTGCTGTCATAAGGGTGCTGTTGTGCTGCTGCCTCTTTTTAAATTTCATAATGTGCTAAAACTAATTTTTCTTCGAAAACATCTACTATCCAATATTGTCATAAGAAAACTTTTTATTGAGTTAATATAAAGTTAAATGATAAGCAGTGAATACTTAATTACATGTTTGGTTTATATATAACAGTTCTGAATTTGGAAAAACTAAATTTCTTTAGCATAAATAAGGTGAATGTATAATTAAACCAATATGTATAGAATACTTCAACCTCATATAGTGACTTTTTCAATCATAATAATAATTTAGTAAGATGTTTAATTAATCAAAAAATCTGCCTGTGTGGCCTACCAGACCAACAGCACGATAACAATAACTGCCCTCCTGAAGGGCAGGCACAACACAAATTCA